TTGAGTTGTTGGCCAGGGTAGTCCAACAGACTCCCAAAATTACACAAGCTATTGCCACAACCCTTGATTGCCTCCCAGAACTTGAAGGTAAGACCCTATTGCTGAAGACGGGACATACTTTGGACACAGGATTGGGAGCAATGGAGCTAGAACTGACCTGGAAGCCACTTCTTCTGAAAGCTAGCTCTTATAGCTTTGGCAAGCACTGTGAAGCTGCTAAGGGAGAACATCAATCCATGGTCCAATCCCAGCTTCAAGGCCCAATAACCACATCAATGACCAGCACAGCAAACAACACTGGAACAGTAGTGGCACTTTTACCTTGGAGGTAATCAACAGCTGCCTAATTGGACTTAAAGCCCACTCAATGGGAGGAAACTCATGTGTGGTACTGTAAACATAGCCAAATACACATGGCCGGAGAAGTCTTGGATCTTAGCGAAAACCCCAAGACTGTCACATCCCTAGACAAATATAATTTCTTACTATATGCGAAATATGTATCCTTATATTTACAGACAACTATCCCAGTCACCACTCATCAAAGAAGCTTCTTTTGCACCAGACAGAGACTAATACTGAGTTCCACAACTGGTCACATACAGACATTGTCTGTGAATTTCCCAAGCCTAAGTGGCACATCCACAATGTTACCTAAGGTTCATGGAACATAGAACAAGGAGTAAAGAGGACACTAATGATTTCTCAATTCTCATTAATGAAGGTCCATGAACTCTTGTATTAAACCAGAGGGAATCATATCAGTCTACTTCAGGGACCACTGCAGAGAGGGGGTAGAAAGATTGTAACAGCCAGGGAGGAGGTGCAAGACCACATGGAAATAGAGTCCTACAGGCTCCTGGGACCTTTCTCATAGGAACCTACAGCAATGGCGTCAGCATGCACAAGACCCATGCAAACTCAAGCAGACAAAACCCAGCACAGAACTGTGGAAATGGGTAACAAGGCCCAATCTCAAAGAATTATTGACAGCTGATTACTGTTGGGTGAGGAACAGTCCTTCAAGGGAAGGACTCTAGATAGGCTGACTAGACCCCAGTGGATGAACTTGCACTGAGGAATGTCTGGGGACACTAACTTGACATGATAGGCCTTAACACTAAATGACAGCATGTATGAATTCCAGTGGGGAAGAGGGTTTATGAGAGGGTGCCAATGGGGAAGGGAGTATAAAGATGATTATGACTGTTTAAGATGTTTTACATGAAATATACAAAAATTCAATTTAAAAAATTTAAAATCATATTTGTAAAATGAATCTATTTACTATCACTAACACAGAACTTCAACATGGAAGTTAGCGGGGGTGACCCCAGAATGGAGGAATGAAAGGTTCAGGACCAAGAATAATCTCGGCTAGGTAACTGCTGCCTTGAAGGCTAGTTTTGTCATCTGGGAACATTTTTCTCCTCTAATTTCAAAATAGTTAAATTCATGTCACCATTCAAAAAGCTGTCTACTACCATCATCCTTACTGTTTTTTAATAGACTATGTTTTAGAACAGTTTTAGGTTCACAGAAAACTTGAGAAGGAAGCACAGAGTTCCTATATACTTCCTGCCACTACATATGAACAACCTCCTTGACTACGTGCTTCCTGTACCACAGTGATGTATTTGTTATAATCCCTGAATCCCCTCAGACATCATTATTCTGTAGTTTACATTAGGGCCTCCATCTTTAAGTTTATTATACACTGACATCCAGGAAGGTGTCTCTTTTAACAATCAGAATATTTTTTTAAAATATTTTATTTATTATTTTTATTTTATGTGTATGAGTGTAAAGAGTGTAAAATTCACTATCAAGAACAGGCTGGCCCCCAACTCACAGAGATTCCCCTGACTCTGCCTCTCAAGTGCAATCCAAGGTTTTGTAGACTAATTTAGCTTTTCAGTGATGAAGTTCAGGTATAAAGGATGGTAGAACCACTACGATTTCAACTAAAAAAAAATGTAATTGCTTGTGTTGTGTTTATCAGATCAGTGCTTTCAGTTTTCCTTACTGCAGTTTTCCTTTAGGACATTACTCCTAAATTTGAGAGTTTTAAAATACAACTATTGTGATAAAAAATTAACAACTTAAAAAAATGAGTTATATATGAGGAGGAAGCATAAAAATTTATGTCATGTTAATTAGTAGAGGTGATAAACATTACCACTGAAATCTACCCGATGACTTTATATCTATACACAGGTGCCAAGGATCTGAGTGCAACCGACCATGCCTAGTAATAATCAGATACATACAGATTAGAGATGTATGCGCCAATATCTAAGTGTTATTAGCAAAAACAATGTCTTTCTGTAAGAAACAGTATATTTTAAAATGAAATGGAGATCTTTTTTAAAGGTTAAAAACTCATTCAATATTATGTCTTACAGGGTTTATACTGAGTCCAATATTGTATAACTGTATTAACTCAACTGTGAGCCTAAAAATTTAGAGCTGTATTTGAAAGAGATGTATCCTGGTTTACACAGAGAATTTCCAGTCAGCTGGGGCTACAGGGAGACCCTGTTTCAAACAACCACCACCACAACAACAAAACAAAAGTACCCTCTCTGAGTCCTAATTTTCTGCACTGTAAAACAGATCATGGATGGGAAACACTGACTTAAAAACATGGGTTTTTTTTAATTATTTATTTTTATTTTATGTGTATGAGCATTTTGCCTACATGCATGTAAGTGTGCCCATGTCATGCAATGCCTGTGGAGGCCAGAAGAGGGTGTCAGATCCCCTGGAACTGGTGTAATGAACCATTAGTTGCCATGTGGGTGCTGGGAACCTGAAGAGCAGCTGGCACTCAACACTTGAGCCATCTCTCCAGGCCAGAAACATGGGGGGGCGGGGTGGTGTGTGTTTTTTTTTTTTTTTTTTTTTTTTTTAATGTATTTGATTTTCCAGACTTTATGCTTAATTTACTGTGAGAAAAGTGGCAAAGGGCTGCCTCCATCCTCAGACTTTACAGGTGGGGTAGTGTTCCTCCAGAGGTGGTTCACAGATTAATTATATTGGAAATACTTGGATGTACTTTTTAAAACCAATGAATCCAGGACTCATTTGTAGATAGATCTTCAGACTGAAATTTTGCAGAAGCATGAGCTAGGAAACTTCCACTGGAAATGTAGGATCACCAGATGTTCATTAGAGGTTCAGTGACCCCATTCCAGACTCACGGAATCAGATATTTTAACAAGATCCACATTTATTAAATTCTTAGCAGCATCATTCTAGATTAGGTGACACAATGGGTTTTGAGAACTACTCATCTAATTGGAAGACAAATGCAGTAGTCTGGTGAGTGCATTTTCAGAGGAACATGGGAATCTTTTAAGAGTGTGCAGAAGGAGCAGGTTCCCTCAAGTTTTCCTAGAAGGGTGTGAATGTCATCTGCTCTTTAAGTGACAATGAGAATTCAGCCAGAGTAAAGGGCTGGGGTAAGGGTGAGAGATATCAGAGGAATTACATGTGGAAAAGCTTGAGGCAAAGGGCAGCATTTTAAGTTTAGGTTTAAAAAAGCCCCCATAACAACAAAAAGCACTTGCAGTTTTTTCTTTTTAAAAAAATTTTATTTATTATTTTTATTTTATGTGTATGAGTATATTGCCTGCATGTGTTTAAATGCACTCGTGTAGTGCAATGCCCACAGAGGTCAGAAGTGGGCATCAGATTCTCCTGATACTGAAGTTATGGATGGTTATTAGCTACCATGTGGGTACTGGGAACTGAACCCAGGTCCTTTGTAAGAGCAGCCAGTGCTCTTAACCACTGAGCCATCTCTCCAGCCCTGAAATTACAGGAGTTTGTGTGTGTGTGTGTGTGTGTGTGTGTGTGTTTTGTTTTGTTTTGTTTTTTAAAGCTTACTTAATTTGTAGCCAAAGGAGATTTGAGGTTGGGACCTCAGCAGGTAGATTTGCTTATGAACCTTTGAGTATGAGGGTCAGATTTTCAAATTTCTGTGATGTTATCTATGATGGCTCTCACAATTTCTTTTAGCATCCTTCACTCATTTGTTCACTTATCCAGCTGTGTATATCTAGAACAAGGCATTTCGCATTAAGTGGTGAGTGGAACCAAAATGTTTATTTAGCCTCAGGGAATTTGTAGGTGAGACTGGGGCAGAGGTGGAGAAGCAAACAGAACAGATAAATGTGTAATTAAAGAAGTATGACAGGATGGAGAATTAAGACCAGAAGCTGCAAGGAAGGTCTGGCCAAGTAGAACAATTCATCCTCACAAGGTGGCTGGTCGCTGGGAGACTTCAGTAGGTGGGTACCTGTAAGCCTACCCAGAGCCCTAAGCCAGAGAATACACACACACAGACACAAACACACAACCTTTTTCTGGTTTGCTGGGAATCTGAAGCGGGGATGAAGACCCATCAAAACCATCTCTTTTCAATCTGTGAAAAGTGACTCTCATGGAAACGCCAAACCGGAGATGAAAAGCAATCTACTACTAGTCCTACTTTTGGAAAGAAATTCCAGAGTAATTCTCTTAGTCAAAGGAACCGCTAAAAGCTGACCTCATCCTGGCACGTTCCAAGTGACACTTTTCTACTGCAAACATCCATTTCTTGAGTGGAGAGGAGCAGGGAGAAGACTGCGCCACACGCCATTGTTTTCACAGTGCCAGTGATAAAATCTGCATAAGAAAACAATGAGATAAGGAAGCCTGACGGTGCGGCGGCCCGCCTAGGTCCTAGGTGCTCTGGCGGCGGGACCCGCCTTCGCAGAAGGGAACCTTTTGTATCCGGGTCTGGCTGCTGGGCTGCCGCGGGGGAAGTGTTTGAGGGTGGGACCGCGAGAAGCGTCTGTAAACAGAGCCGGGCCGGGATGGTCGGCGGCTGGAGTCGAGCGCCTGTCATCGCTGGCGGGCTGGCTGCCCAGGCCGGGTCCCTCACGAGTCGGCTGCAGGCCGCGCAGGTGAGGGGAAGAAAGCCCGGAAGAGCATCTGCCGGCTTCCGTGAGGCCCGGCAGACCAGCGGGGGCGGGGAGAGGGACGGGATGACAGCATCGGAAATATCCGAGCATCTTCCTGGGGTCGCTGCGAATCTGCCCTTTCTTCTGTACACTGTTTTCTTTTTCATTTCGCGCTGGAGACTGCACTCCATTGCCGCGGATAACGAGTGAGGGGAGATACCCTGATACGTTGTCTGTTTTCGGGAATCAGGTAAACATAAAGTAGAAAGTAGTTGAATTAGGTGATCCTGTTCTTTGCGTTGTTTTTAGTAACCCAGTGATCATAGAAACCAAACCCCAGCAGAGCTTTTAGGTCAGGTGGAGCTGGGCTTCCAGAGAAACGTGATGATTGTTCTTTTTGTTGACTGTGCCTATTTTGAATGTGTAGTAAATGACGCCACATGACTGATGACAAGTTGGTTTTGTATGAAAAGATTACTAAGCTAAAAAATCAAGATAAGAAAAACTCAGACCCACCCCCTAAACTGAAAAAAATTCTGAATTTGAATGACAAATTGAGACTGGCCTATATATATAGCTGCAATGCAAGACAAATTTGAATTTACCAGGTTAAACAGATTGAGCCATACTGTTTGCTGTAAACTTATTTGGAAGGGTTTTTCTCTCCCTTTCTTCTTTTGTCCATTGAACTAGAGAGGAACAACTGATTTTTCCCATTAAAGTTTTTCAATAACCATAGTGAATTTTGATTTGTATGTATACAAATGTTATAGAACAGCACATATGAATTATAATTGATGTGCCTCAAATAAAATACCAAGTAATTTTTCTTTCATTAACTTCAAGAAAATCCTTTAACAAAAATGAGACCTTTAAAAGCATGTGTCACCTTGGTAACATAGTCTAACTTTTAGTTAGGAGACAAATATTAGGTTAAGTTGACATAGACAAGTGTTTTAAAGTTGTACACTAAGAAATAATATTATCTAATGGGTTTGTCTTTACAGAGAATATTTTCACAATGTCATGGTTCTAGCAAGATCTGTAAAGCCAGATTACCTCAGTTTTAAATCTTGCTTGGTCACATCCTCATTGTGTAATCTGGAAAATTTACTTAGTTTTGCTATTTCTAATCTGTAGAATGGGAAGAATACCTGTGCTGACCTCATCAAGAATCTAATGAGGAGTAAATAAATGTACTAAATATATTCCAGTATTGAAAAGTAGATTGGTGATTCTTAAGTGTTGGAGAGGGGGACAGAAGAATCTCTTGTTTAATGAATACAGAGTTTCAGTTTTGCAAATGAAAAGAATTACAGAGATTGGGCTACACTTAACAGTGCTTATGATGGTAAATTTATGTTTTGTATAGCTTAGTACAATGTTAGCAGTTATGTTTTAAAAAATCCTTTTTTTTTTTTTTTTTGGCCTTTTAAAGACAGATTCTCTCTGTAGCCCCAGCTGGCCTGGAATTCACTATGTAGACCAGGCTGGACTTGAATTCACAGAGATCTGCCTGCCTCTGCCTCCCAACTGTTGGGATTAAAGGCCTTCGCTACCATGCCCAGCTTGTTTAAAAAAATCTTCATTATCATACAGCAGCCCCATCCACAGTTGCCTTTACTGTTGTGAAAGTGCAATTTCTAGCACTATTCAGTAGATTCAAGCACTTGAGACTTATTATGAAGCATAAAACCAATGATAAAGAAGTGACCCCTAAGAGTTTGGGGCAGTCATAGTTCTGAAAATGTCCTCTGCTGTCATTTTTTGCTCTAATCCCTGCAACCTGTGCATATAAGACATCATTTCCTTGACTATGGCATGTTACATGACACAAGTGAATTTAGAAAGGAGAGATCATATAGGCGAGTCTAATCTAATCACAGGTACCCATAAAAGTGAAGGAAATCGTAAGGTTCAACATACTATGGCTGATTCAAGGATGGAAAGTACAGCTGGGTGTGGTGGTTCACACCTTTAATCCCAGCACTTGGAAGGCAGAGGCAGGTGGGTCTCTGTGAGGTCAAGGGCAGCCTGGTCTACATAGCAACTTCCAGATCAGCTAGGGCTATTGGGAGACTATATAAAAAAAAAAAAAAAAAAAAAAAAAAAAAAAAGATGGTACATTTGAGCTGGAATTCAGGCATCCTTGTCAACAACTCCCATAAGCTTGAAATAGGATTCTTTCCCAGAGCTTCCATATAGGAGCCCAGCCTAGCTGAACCTTAATTTCAGTCTTACAAAGAAGACTCAGTAAAGAATCCAGCAGCCCATCCAAACTTCTGACCTTCATAACTGTGAGATAATAAATGGATGTTCGAAGTGACTCAGAGTGTGAAAATTTGTTATGCTACAATAGAAAAGTAATACAGAATTCAGCAGAAAAAATGACAAAAGAAATAAAACAGAGTATCTGTTATAATGTGGATCTGGAAAGTCCCTAAAGGCCACTTGTTAAAAGCTTAGTTGCCAGAGTGGCACTTTTTGGTTTGGTTTGGTTTGTTTTTGAGACAGGGTCTTCCTGTAGCCACAGGTGGCCTGGAACTTGCTGCATGGACCAGGCTGGCCATGAACTTATAGAGATCCACCTCCCAGTGTTGTGATTAAGGACCTTTACCACCATACCTGGCTCCAGAGGGGCACTTTTTAAAAGGAGTAGAACTTTTAAGAGGTAGGGCCTGGTAGGAAGTCTTTAGGACATGGAAGGAATGCCTTCAAAGAGGATTGTGGGATGCTGGACCCTCCCTGTTCTGTCTTTCTGCTCCCTGCCTCATAACTCTAATGGTTTTGTTTCACCATGCACTCTCATCTGATATGCTGGCCTTGCCTCAGTTCTAAATATAATGAGACCAATTGATCATAAACTGTAACTTTCAAAACCACGAGCCAAAATAAACCCTTTATCTGTATCAGTTGGTTATTTCAGGAATTTCATTATAATGACAGAAAGCTAACACATTATCATAGAAAAGAAAATTAAACAATTGATATACAAAAATTAGCTTTTCCATTAATTAGAGAAATGGAAATGGAAGCAATAGCAAGGTACAGTTTTTCCAACTCAACATAGATTTCGAAAGGCTTTAATTTTCATATCAATTAGTGTTATCAGAGTAGACATTCTCAGATACCACAGGGGCAGACAACTGTTATAATCCTTCTGAAAAGCACACTGGTTAAATATATTTTTAAAAACTCAGTAATGCTCCTACCCTTTGACCTATCAGTTCCTCTTCTAGAAATCCAAAAGAACCTATGGAAAAAAAAAATAGGTTCAAAGTAATGTTGAGCCAAACATGGTAGCTCATACCTCTAATTCCAGTACTTGGGAGGCAGAGGTAAGTGGATCTCTGTGAGATTCAGATTAGCCTGGTCTACATAGTAAGTTCCAGGCCAGCTGGGGCTATAGGGAGACCCTGTCTCAAAGAAACATAAAACAAAGTAATGCTCAGTAGGGCCTTACTTAGAAAAGTATTGGCAGTAACCTAAATGCCTAATAACAGGGGTGCAGTTAAATTGTTTCCATCAAAAGATATGGCATTACACAAATTTTCCTGCCTAAGTATTGGAATTAAAGGCATGTGTTACCACACTCAGCTCACAAACATTTTAAAGGATATTTATGAAGAATCTTAATAGAAAGGTGTCACCAATTATTGCTAAGTGGGGGGGAAATACAACAGAGAGCTGTATCTACAGTATGCTTTCAACTCCCTCCTTTTCTTTTCATTTCATTTCTTTTCTTCTTTGCCTTTCAGGAAAAGGCAAAGAAAGGACCAAATGAGACAGTGCTTTTCCCCTACTAGAGGGGTGAGTGTTACAATAGGCCTTTTGTTCTTTTCTGTCTTCAAAATACTGAGCAATGTACTCATAGTACATTTTAATCCCCACAAAGGTCAATGAATTTTTTTTTCTGGTCTTTTTGAGACAGCGTCTTCCTGTAGCCCCAGCTGACCTGGAACTCGCTGTGTAGACCAGGCTGGCCTCCAACTCACAGAGATCCACCTGCCTCTGCCTCCCAAGTGCTGAGATTGAAGGCATGTGCCACCACGCCCGGCCGAATTTTTTAAAGTTGTCTATGCTGTGGGGAATACAGTGAATCTAAAATACTGTACAGCTAAACAATGGAGAAATAACTTAAATGTGTGGCATAAAGATACTTTTTCAGACAATAATATGAGGTAGAAAACAATATTATTAGTAAGATTGAAATGAAAATTGCTTTTCTCAGTAGGGTAATCAGTGAAAACTTCTGATAAAGTACTGCATGTCATGCAGAAATAATAAAAAAGGGCTGTGGATGAAATTTTACTAAATATCCCTGTTTCTTTGTTTCTTTTATAATTAGTTAATAAATTTTTTTTTCAAGATAGGGTCTCATGATATAGCCTAGGTAGGCCTGGAACTCCCTGTATAGCCCAGGCTATGAACTAGCCACCTTTCTGCCTCAGCATCTGGAGTGCTGAGATTCTATGT